CTATGTTATGTCAGAGTGAAATAATCCTTTCCTCTTTCTTTAATCCTCTTCTTTCTAAAGCCTACTAAAACGTTATGATCGCAGTGCTGACCAAAACAAATGTGATTCTTTTATATTCACTTTCACTTCAAGCTATTTAAGAGTAAAACAATATTTTATGTTGAGCTAATGTGATACTTTAGCTTAACTAAAGCCCACATTCATTAAAGTTTTACTAAGTATTGCTATCCTCAAATATTTAACCTGTCATAACTGAAAGAATGCACAGGCCCCTTTTTCACTCGCTCTATTTATGTTGCAAACACACCTGCTCCAGTTCATAAGCTTTGGCCTTGTCTTCATCGCGGTCTGCATTCTTCCGGTAGGCCATTCCCAGCCCCCACACCGCCAGGACACTGTAAACATTATCCCTCACCCAGGCATCCTTCTTCTGCGCACTGGCAGGAAGAAGTCCTGTCACTGGATTCTGAAACCAAGACACATGTGACATGTTAACTAATAGTAAAGACAGGGGTGGTATGAAGGATACAGTTGTGGTCAATAGCTTACCTGCACTCATCATGAGCCTGAATGTGATCATAATTGTGATTTAGGGTTTTGTTTTGTTTTTTCAGAGTTGAATGATTGTACCACAAACACAAATCTTTAACATTTCTGAGGTCAGGGCTTTGGGAAGGCCTTTACAGAAGCTCCATTCCAAAACCAATTCTGGTGTGTTTGGGATCATTGTCCCGTTGGAAAACCCAACTGTGTCCAAGTTTCAACTTTCTAGCTGTTGATCTGACATGAAGCTGAAGAATTTGAAGATAGTCATCCTTCATTATTCCATCCACTTTGTGCAATGTACCAGTATCATAAGCAGCATTACAGCTACAGAGCATGATGCTACCACCACCATGCTTGACAGTTTGTAAAGTGTTCTTAGGTTTGAAAGCCTCAGCTTTACTCTTCCAAACAGCTCAATGTTTGTCTCATCTGACCATAACATTTTTCTCCAGAGAGTATTCGACTTATCCATGTGGGCTGGTGCAAATTTCGGTCAAGCTTGAAGGAGCAGGAGCTTTTTTCTATAATCCATGTGTGAAAGATCCACGACAAGACACACAGCTGCAGCTTTTTAGCTAGCTGCTGAACACTCCACCAACGATTACAACGCACAGACAGGACCCAATACACACTTTAAGTCGACGAGGCGTGATTCTTCTTTGGCTATCACAGATTCATAGCTATTATTCTTATATGTGTTATTGTGATCTCCTATGAGCAGAGCTTGAAAATGAATGAAAGCATGGTCCCACTGATTACAATTCAAACTGAAATTGTTAAAAAGTATCAAAGTCCTTTGACTGAAAGTTACTGAAAGTTCATGTGTGCCCAATAATAATAATACAGCAGTTGCAGTTTATATTTGGAGGAGCCTGAGACATCAGTGTGTCACCCCCTCCTCTCTCACTAAACATATACCCCGACATATCCATATCAGTATATGCTATGCCTGGAAAGCTGATGCTGTTTCCTATCAGCTGAGTACTCTCTGATTCACAGTTTAGCATAGACAGCTGTTGATGGTGCCTCAATGTGAGCTCAAGAGCCAGTAGATAACAGTACATAGCTTTCCAGTCCTAAGCCTGTTCCAGTGCCTGAACTTTGCCCACACTTTGTTTATTTCTGTGCAGCTCACTTTTGGCTGAACTCTAACCTATATGGGCTACAAAACATGTCCATACCTAGCATGCTTCTGAAGGAGAAATCAAGGATATGTGCATAACTGAAATCCATAACACTGGGTCCTGGTGTTGTCTCGTTTAAAGTTTACATGACTTAAACGTTCAAATGGACTATAGTGTCTGAAATAATGTATGAAAGTATTTCATATACAACCACGTACATTCTGCAACATCTAAACTAGTACACGGGTAGTAACGCATCAGTAACTGTAATCACAGTATGCAACATACTTCATTTTGAAATAAGTGCTTCCACATTTAGATCTTGAATTATTGCTTCATTCAAACGTTTCTCAGTAACATTGCGCAAAAAGGGGCCCTTACTCCACTCCACCTTTGCGGAAGTGCTCCAGCTTTACTGCGCTGCCTCGTCTCTGGTGTATGTCTGAACTCACCTGATGGCACAGGATAGTCTCCTGGACCAGCCGGGCATAGCCGTCCAGCCGCACTCCTGAGTTACTGCGACTCCTCATCCTCTCTGATCACTGCACACACAACGACAGTTTAAGTCTCAGCGACCGCTTAAAGCTCGGCATTTACTTCTTTGTAAACGAAGCTTCGAACACCACCGGCTCTCGCTTAATAAATTAGGTAGGCTGTCTTACCAGGCAGCGACCCATCCTCCCACTCCTGTTTCGCCGACTCGATCCCCGCAGAGGCTGCTCTGCTAGCGCTCGCTAGCCGGGTAGCATCCAGCTGTTTTTTTGACGATATCAACACGTAACATTAAGCTTGCAGCATGAATTTTCAGGCACACAGGACCACACGGCCCGGTCAAAGCGCCTGATAAGACGAGTCAGGGCTCGCAGAAGACAGGACGTGAGGTCTCACAAACACAGAGAGGCTGGAGGGCAGAAACGTCTGTGAGCGGCTGTACATCCAATCTGTAAAAAAAAATACATTATGTTCTTGTTGTTTCCCTGCTCGACGACAGGGGGCGCCAGATCACTTTCGTTCCTTCCACTCCAATAAAGTAATGCATAGAAAGGACAAGACGTGAACTATGAGGATGCAAAACTCCATCTGCTAATTTCATTATTTCTATGAAATAAGATAATTCACAGACTACCAAAATATAAATAAGCCGCGTATTCACTTTATTTAGAAATGGGGAAAACTGACCCAGTATCCTGCTAGTTTATATGGCTCGTTTCACAAACAATAGATTTATTACATGTACTGTTGGGTTTTGGGGGGTTTATATTTTATATACAAAATGTAAATAGTTTAAGTATCTAGCTATTAAATGCATTCAGCTAGAGTTTCCCTTTATTTCCCTCGATTTTCAAGCAGCATTAAATGAAAACACTCGTTGAGTACCACAGAACTGTACTTTTACACATTGCTTAAAATGTAATTCATGCATTGTTCTTTGTCCTTAAAGTCATCATCACTGTAAAGAATATACAGTTGGTGTATTGTGTAAATGTTGACAGTATAGACGACTTTTTACGTATAATCTGAGAACGATATACCAGCAGAAAAAAACACAAACAGACATAAACTTCCCTTGTTGTTTATTATTTATGTATACCAGGACTATATTACAGTGCTGTAGTGCAGATTCAGTATTTTAGTCCAGTACTCAAGTAAATGTATCTCCAGTATATCTTGATTTCAAAATCAGGGAAAGTAAAGAACAGTTAAAAGTACCATTTAATTGAAATATACATAGTTAAATGCATAAAATTATGTGGTCAAAAGATGTCATGGTAATTTGAGGCTTTTTATGATTTCTTCAAATCATAAAAAGTTGTTTTTCCAGGAATGATTGCATAGCGTATGTCTCTAATGGCTGTTAAAAAAGAAAAAGAAAAAACAAGAATTGGGTGCACAAGTTCATAATGATTTTGAATTTTCTGGGGGGACTGGAGTCTATCCCATCTGCCACAAGGCAAGGTGGAGTACACCCTGGACAGCTCACCCATGTGATACACAGAGACAGAAAACCATTCACACACACATATAACACCTGTAGGCAATTTAGAATAACTTATCAACTTAAGCCACTAATTTGCAACCCAGCATATCACGCAAACACCAGGATAACATGCAAACTCCACATAGAAAGACCGAGACAGATGATGGATTTGAACCCCTTTCGAACATGTTTTACAGAAAACTGCTCCAACTGTCAAGCATGGTGGTGGTAGCATCATACTCTAAAGCTATTTTGGAATAATGAAGAAGGACTACTTCCAACTTTGTCAACTTCACCTCAATTGGAGATAAATTTATCTGAATTTCAGGACTGGGACCACATCTCCACACACCTCCCTTCTGGATCTCTGTCTAAATATGACCCCCAGACACTACAAGCTGCATTTTGTGTGCCTGACCCTCCCTTCCATTTTCAATTTATATACTTGTCATTAGTACATGGAGATCTGCGTGGCTCAGGAGCCACCACCAGTTCCCTTTGAGGCAAAACAGTTCCCCAAACTGCAGCCTCAATTCATGCTCAAGCCATCTGCCATTATCTATTAGAAATGCTGTCAAAACTAAAATGAGGACGTAGTCACAGATAATGAAATCAACAGCTAGACACAACTGGGTATTCCAACAGGACAATTACCCAAACACACATAAAAACTGGTTTTGAAATTAATAATGCAAGCTAACATTATCCTTTTAGAGCGGTCTTCCCAAAGCTGTGACTTCAACCCTTTTGAAAATTTGTGGACTATGCTTAAAAGCTGGATCCGTGACAGGAAACCAACCAATTTAAATTAACTCCACTATTTCAGCCGAGAAGAGTGTTCAAATATCGAGCCAAAATAATGCCGCATTGTTGAAGCTTGTTAATGGCAACCAAACGCATCTGGTCAAGCTGCAACTGGCAAATGGATAACCAGATATTAGTGGGGGTGTAAGTATGTATGTGAACATGTATGTATACTTTCCACCTTGTGTGGAATTGAGAAATTCAAAATAAATTCAAACTTGTGCACCAGTTCTAGTTTTTTTTAAAGTAATAAAAGATGTACGCCGTACAATCATTAAACCCTGGAAAAAGAAAATTTCAAAGAAATCATCAAAAATGTAAAAATTACACCGATTCGCAACTATGTTTAGAGTTGGGTCATATATATCGTGAAAACAGTTACTTGGATTAATATACGCTCTTTACTGAACAAGAAGAAGTAAATTTGACTGAGTGGTAACTTTGCACACACAGGCAGCCATTGCTGTTTCCTTGTAATAACGTAACGAATAACGGAATCTTTAATCCAATCAAATTTCAGAGCTGTGGCTTTTTAAACCAATCACAGCGCAGCCGTCTCAATCGCTGCTTACCATCGACCACTACCCGCTAGCTAGTTTAGCAACAAGCTGGGTGAGGGGCTAAACCGCAGAAGCAGCTTCTTCACTCGTTTTTTTTGTGTGTATTTCGCTGGGACATAGTGAAGTTAGCAGTCATCCGAGTGATTATCTTCACGTTTTGGTCGAAGGTAAAGACTGGTGTTTACTTCTTGTGCATGCTTTAGCTAGATAACCCTTCGCAGGATGGGGCGCAAATGACACGAGACGCGTTGTTGAGGTTATTATGTGGCCGTCAATTAAGATTAGCTGATATTAGCTAATGCAACTTTGTATTAAAACCTCTTCAACGTAAAATATTTCAAGTTGGACACATTCTTAACGGGCGGCTAGGCGGTCGTGTTATCATTGTCAAGAATGTGTGTATTTCCTGTTTGGACGTCTCTCCTTATTGTTGTGACTAAGTCAACTGGGTGATTCAAAGTTTCATACCATGCCAACGTGTTATTCAGTAGTTGCCACAGGCTTGCTGATTGCACCCCCTCTAGCTATTTTAATTTCTCCTCATCTTTCTCTCTCATCGTCAAATAACTCCTTCAGTCGGTGTTTATCTCACTCTTGTATAACTGGACTTCCTCCCGCAGATGCAGTTCATGCTGCTGTTCAGCCGGCAGGGAAAGCTGCGGCTGCAGAAGTGGTATGTTCCTCTGTCAGACAAGGAGAGAAAGAAGATCTCCAGGGATCTGGTCCAGACTATACTGGCCAGGAAGCCCAAAATGTGCAGCTTCTTGGAGTGGCGAGACCTGAAGATTGTGTACAAAAGGTAGGTGTATAATGCAAGAATGCAAGTTGGGATACAGCTGCACGCTCTCCCTTTCTATCACAAGTGGCATTTGCACTCAGCTTTTGGTGCAGTAGGTAGATCAGATCCTCAAATGCAACAGCACAATATTGCCCTTAAAGATTAAGTAATGCTTATTAGCACCAACATTTGTTTTCTACAAAGTAACTTGTATTGGTTCACTTGAGTTGAGAAATGGTCAAAAAAATTATTTATTGGGATTTTGTTTTTTTAGTGTGCCAGTCGTCGGTTCTCCTCAGGAGGGAGGAGAGTAGTGAGAGGAATTAAAGCAAGATGCGTGCTCCTCTAAATCCCAACTGGTGGGAGCAAACTCCCACTCCCTTCCAGTGCTTCTTCCCTTAGGTTGTGGATTCCAACACACTACACCTAAAGGAGAGAAAGTAATTCCCAACATTAATTACCTGTGTTAATTAGACTCCCTCTCGCTTCTCCCCTGCTGCCTCAAGCAGCACCAGACTACCTGTTGCCATGTTTTGAAGCAGTAATCCGTGCACTACAAGTTGCGACTTAAATAAACAGGGGAAAAAAAGTAAATTCGGTGTGAATATTTGTGACTTGCATAAACTGAAATAGAAATTCATTAGGGAAGTCAGGATTGAGTGCTTTGCCAAGAGATGTCCATATTGGCACATGTGGGATGGGGACAGTTCTTCCAGGGTGAAACAGTGGTGCCTGATATGTGGACTCAGTGCGTTCCTGCTCGCTGTATCATAGCTGATCAAGTATACTGTTCATGTCAGGCCAAAATGGCTCTCGTCTGACGGCTCCTGAATGGTTGTCCCTCCTTGTTAGCAATATAATAAGGGCTGGTACTGGTGAAGTGCCAGTTTCCAGGTGCACATACTAGTTTTTTTCATTGTTTCAGTTTGCGTCTCAGCAGCAGATGGAGTTGGCTCGTGGAAAGGTGTTTTAACTTGTATAAAACACTGTTCACATGACAACAGACGTTTATAAGGAAGAGAACTGCGTAGTTTCAGTTCCCGAATTCATGATGACTGTGGTGTGGTTGAAACCTTCAAAAGCCATTAGGAAGAGGATCGTTGACTTCAGGCATTTATGTTTAACTTGTAAATGGCCCAGATAAGCTTCAGTCCGACTGTTGTGTAATTTCTTTAGGTCAGAGTATGATCTTATCAGTAGGATGTGTTAACGTTTGGTTCGTTGCATCACTGGTAAATCTGTGGTGGTTTGTTGGGGTGGTTAATGGGAGCTGGTGATTCAGTGATTATTTTGTCAGGCACTGAGATTTCTGGCATCTAGAGCTCACCTTCTGGTGTGTCGTGGAAGCCAAAAACACCTTCTTTTCAAATAATAACTGCCAAAAAACAGAGTAGATGGGGAGATTGCCTGATTTGTCATGAACATATGACTCATAAGTAATGTAAATGTCCACTTTATCAAGGCAAAACAAACAAACAAACAGTTCAGCCACATGATAGTGCAGTATTATACACACACATGCAGGTCAATACACAGGCCTAAATGTGTTGTATTCATAACATGTGATTGTCTGATCAAATATTTGCATGACGGAGCATTTGAACAGGTTTATCAAAAGAAAAGATTGTGAGTGTATTATCTCAGCATTAACTTCCTGCCCATTTTTAAATGCCCTGCAGACACTTGCTGGGTTGTGATATCACTGCATGCTCTCTTTCAATCACATTCTGGACCAGACATTAGACATTTTAGCTTGGTGTCTATGCTTCTTTCTTTTTTTTGTGTCTGACTTTTATTACCAAATATACACTTAACAGTCTTAATGCATTCCTTAATACTGCTGATGTCACAAATATTGATGCTTTGCATATCTTCTTTCTTCGTGTACTAGATACGCAAGCCTGTATTTCTGCTGTGCCGTCGAGGATCAGGATAATGAGCTGATCACACTCGAGATCATCCACAGATACGTGGAGCTGCTGGACAAATATTTTGGCAGCGTAAGTCGTGTCAACATCACACACATAACATGCTGATCGATGGTATCAGAAGGGGAAATCTGTTAAAATGTTACTGCAAGGATTTTTAGTAGGGACAGAGTCTCCTCTGATCTGCTGCTATTTGTTGTTTTGTGGACTCTCAGGTGTGCGAGCTGGATATCATCTTCAACTTTGAGAAGGCTTACTTCATCCTGGATGAGTTCCTGCTGGGCGGAGAGGCCCAGGAAACATCCAAGAAGAATGTGCTGAAGGCCATCGAGCAGGCTGACCTGTTGCAGGAGGTACGCTCAGTTCTTCTTCAGCAGATAAATAAATCCATTTGACCTGATTTATGAACAGGGGGTTGCAATGACGAAGTGTTGATAAACCTATCATGTTTGTTTGGTTTTTGTGGGGGATTTTTTGTTTTCTTCAAAAATCTAAAGGTGTTATCTTTACTGCCAAGAAAGACAAGGAAAGCTAGCAGTTCTTCACATTTGATAAGCTGAAACAAAAACAGACATAAATCCTTTCAAAATGAAACATTTGCCAAAATTCAGTAACTTTCTGTTGGTTGCTGGAGCACTGACTTTGTGAAAATAGAATTAATTTTACTCAACAATTCAAGTGTTGAGCCAAACAGAAGGCTGGCTTTCTCCACCTTACACTCACCTGCACCTGCTATCATGTTTATTCTTAGGCTGCAGGACTTGATTAATACCTCTTTCTATCTCTTGTGCCAGTGCACTAAAGAACGTTCTGCCTAGGTGGCTGTTTCCAGTAGACAGATTCAGTGCTCTTTGATTTATTTAAAGCAAAGCATGCAGCACTATTGTTATAACAGAAGGACTGGCTGTGCATGCCTGTAACTCACTGTAAAGCCCCTCTGTTCCAATCTTAGATTCAGCAGCTAGCAATTATGACTCATGCACTATTAATTATGTTTTGTAAGGGGTACTTAAAGAACCTGACATAACAGCTTTAAAGAGCACTTGTCTGTCTTCTTCTGCAGGAGGCTGAGGCACCACGGAGCGTTTTAGAAGAGATTGGGCTGACATAGATCAACGTGTTTCTGCCTTGTTTGATTCTCACCTCCGTGTGTCGACTAAGTCCTCTCCTGTTTACCGTGTCAGTGTTTGTGTGTGTGTGTGAGTGTGGTCACCATCTATGTACTGTACTATCCTGTATTGTCCTTTCAGTGTAGTGCCAACTGTGGTTCTGATGTGTTCCCTATGTGCAAGCTCCCTCACTGTATTCAGCAGCACTTGGCGTACTTCACTCCCTTAACTTAAAACTCCACAGAGAACAATGTAGCACCGACATGAACTCCAGCATCATTAGATAATCCATCATCACCCACTGCAGAGCTGTACATGTTTGGCCTCAAGTGCTTGTTAAGGTGTTGTGGCTGCAGCTGGTGCTTCTCATGTTTTACCATCACATAGCAAAGAATCATGAAAATACAGCACTGCAAAAAATCTTGAACTACCCCTAGATTCTTTATGCTTTGCTAGGAAAATTGAATATGGGTGCAGTGGTTTATTGAAACATGTAAAAACATATGTGGAAACACAGCCTGAAAAATTCTGTTTGAGTCATCTTGAGTCTGCAGCCTGAACTCTCTTAAATCAGCTGTGCAAGAAACTAGTGTTCAGGAATAGTTCTGAAAGGACATTTAAAGCTCTTCTTCAGATGGTGCTGTAGATCGTTTTGTCCAGTTTCCTCAGTTTTAAGGCTCCACTGCACACCACGCCAAGATAACAGCTCTTTGGGAATTGACTTGTTGCTGCAAAAGTGCAGTTTTCTGTACTTCAGACTGTTATTTCTGACATTTTTTGAGATTCAACTGAAGAAATGGCGAAAAATGGTGTTTGGGTTTTTTTTACGGGGTTACAGGCTCCTAGTGCTTAAAGATAAAATTTGAAATTGGTCCTTTGCATAGTTTTTTTTTTTTTTTTTTTTTTTTTATAAACGTGTAGAGATGATGCTGGTTCATCCAATGATACCTTTTTATGCCTCATTGTCTCACAGCCAGTGTTAAGTGGCATAACAAGTTAAAAAAAAACAAAACACATTCATCTGAAAATGTTCAGGTACAAGGGTTGGACTGAATGAGTGAACAAATAACCAGTTCCTATGTTGCATGCTCATATGTAATGGTAATGCATCAAAGCCACCAGCTGGGGCCAGTGCTGTTAAGGGAACCACAGACACTGTTACAATCACTTATTCATGGCTAAACTGAACCCAGTAACTAAAATTACACATTTAATAATCATTGTGTCTGTGTTAACACTTAATACAGGTTTATTTTCTGTGATTCTTCTCTTCAAATGAATCATTTCATATTCACATTTCCAGACTAATTGTTATATGTGGGTGGTTTCTGTGTAACTAGTGTCACGTTTGCTATACTGTATTTCTGTAGTGTTTTTGACCATCGACTTATTGTCCTTACAAAAAAACACTGAGGTTTGTAAAAGCCTCTGAAAGTATATCTTAGGTCCAGTTCCTCCCTTAGTGCTGAATTAGGTTAGGATAGTGACCCAAATAAAACCACTATTTTGTGTATTATATAGCTCTGGCTTACTCTTAACGACTAACATATGACCAAAGAACACTGTGTTTTACCTTCTCAGTGGTGTCTATAGGAGGCTAAAACAGCAGAAAAAAGGGATTTATAACTGCAGGTTGATGTCACGGATGTGGGAATTATTTGGCTACAATAAACCAGTATTATGGAATTACTCCAGTCTGCCCAGACATGTTGATCATGACTTTCTTCATGGAGTGGGAACATAAAAACATGAACTGCAGATATCAGGTATATCATTGTAATGTGCAAGGAAACAACTTCTAAATAGTTACTCATCTCAAACTGTATGGAAGTCTTTTTTTCTTATCAAGATCAAAACTGTTGTCGTTGAACACTCGTATTATCAAACTTTGATTTGTGCAAAAGAAATCAGTTTTTGTATTAAACACTGACAACACATTTTTCTTATATTTGAAAGATATTAAAAATAAATGTATTCAAAAAGCAAGGGTTTTTTTGTTTTTATATTGTTACGTAACATGTAGTGCCACAATGAGCATCTTGAAAATATTCACATATGTACACAAAAGGTGTTGACAAGTGCCAATGTTGACTACATTAAAATCATTGCATTTTAAACTGGATTAACGCATCAGAATACAGTGATCTCAGGACTCACAAACTGCAATGCATCCCTTTTTATTCATTTAAAATCCAGATCGGTAAGGCGGAGATGTATCGCAGTGTGCACAAATTTCTAGAAGTTATTTTTAGGAAAATCTGATTTGTAGATTTTAAAATGTGCGCTACAAAAAGAGCATATTTTCAGTGAGGTCACCTCACATTTCCTCGGACTATTCACTTTCACTGTTTTTCTGCGTTTGCTCCATCTCATTTCTCTCTCCACTGGGACTTGATGTTGAAAGGTTTTCCACCGTCTCCTCCCCTGACTCCTCTTTTTCTGACTCTCCAGATGAAGCTGTCTCTTCAGGCAAATGGCTTTTCTTCTTGCTCTTCTTCTTGCTCTTCTTCTTGCTCTTTTTGGAGTGTTTGTGGCGACGATGTGTGCTGCTGTCATCATTAGACTTTTTCTTACTTTTATCAGGTGATTTGGGGCTTCTTTCTTTACTTCTCGACTTTTCTCTCGTTCCCATGTGAGCGACGTCATTCGTGCCTCTACCGTTTCTCTCTTGATCTCTACCCCTATGCTCCTTCTCTCTGTCCCTACTTCTGTTTCTCCGCCTGTCTTGCTCGTCGTCTCTACTTCTGCTCCTTGACCTGCCTCTACTCCTGCTCCTTCGCCTGTCTTTCCACCTGTCACTGTGTCTGGATCTGGACGACCGTGTGTCCTCTCTGTTGTGGTATGACGGCCTCCTCTCTCTGCTCCTGCTCCTTCGCCTGTCTTCGTCTCGTCTCCTTTCAGATCTCTCCGATCTCACCGGGCTCCTGCTGTAATGACGCTGCCTCCATGATCGGCTCGAATGCCACCCGTCTCTGTGACTGCCCCTTACACTGCGGTCAGGGGACATGTGCAGGTCCCTGTCAGCCTCCCAGAATTCATTCCCAGGGTTTCGAAATACATGCAGAAAGTTGCAGTGCTTCCCTTTAGGGCACTTGTGTCTGTCAAACAATCCTGAGAAGATAAACAAACAAGCTAAACACTGTGGGAATGTCTTCAAGTGAAACTGCATGCCGTCAGCATTAAAAAGTAGCTCACCACATATGGCATTCTTCCACCGTGTAACAGGTGATATCTCACAGTGAAGCTGCCGGCCTGCATACCACCTCCCATTGAATTTGATGAAGGCCTCTTTGCATTGCTCCTCTCTGGAGAGACAACAAAGAATGATGTGTTTTCTCTGAAGTGTTACTTCAATTGCAAAGAGACGGGAAGTGGCTGAGTGACTTCTTACGTGTCAAACTGAACATAAACGTTTCCTCTCAGGTGTGGTTCATAGTTACAGCTGACCTATTAGAGGAGAGGAATAGGTGAAATCTATAAATGTTTTTAAGGGGAATAAGTGAGTCTGTTTTACAACACAGACAGGATGACGGGAGGAAAGCTTCTTGATGTCATCTCACCTTAAACTGCAACACTTTGCCGACGCTCTTGAACTCTGGCAGAACATCGTGGTAGAACTCGAGGAAGGACTCCTGCATCTCCTCCTCGCTGTGCTCCAAACAAGCATCGATGTCATAGTCATCACGGCGCGACTCTTCCATACCGAACGTTCTAAACATTCCGCGGATCATCAGCGTTGGACTGGTTGCAGGATACGTATGTTTTCGAGAACATCTGGATTCATAGAGAGAAGACATTCAAATACGTGGGGAAAGGCCACTTTAGTGTCATCGTGTAATTTAACCTAACATAACATTCTTCTTGACAGACTAGCTCCTATTGAAATCACTGGACGCACTCCGTTCATTCAACTGAAAAATTCAAATTCCATCAATTTCCAGTTATTACTGGAGTCTCCCAGGTATCTGTCCTGAGCCGCCTTTTTTTTCCTCATCTCCTTCCTCTTGGTCAAATCTTCCATAAATCGGTTTCCATTGTTATCCCGATGACACCCAGCTCTACCCACATGCCAAACTACCAGCACCTCCCACTCACTGCCCTCTGTGTTTGCCTCCAGGAAATTAAATCCTGGTTCTACTGCAACCTTCTCAAACTACAGTGATAAAACAGAGGTTCTTCTCACTGTCCAAACGTAACAGCTATTCACTCCCTGTTGACAACTCCTTAGTTTCTCCCTTGCCTCAGATTAAGAGTCTTGGGGTCATCCATGCCAGGACGCTTTCTTTTCAAGGGCATATCAGTGGCATGTCAAAACGCACCTCTTTACACTAGTTTATTCACTCTGATTGCAACTTTGCTCTTAATTTTATAGGATTTTTTGTCTATTCCTTTTGTTCTTAACTCTTCTGGGTGAGGTAACCTTGAGTGTTTTGAAAGACACCTAAAAAGAAATGTATTATTATTATTATTGTTATAATTATTATTATCAACAACTCAGAAGAAACCAAAACCCATCAGTACCTGTCTCCAAATCGACACGCTCCAGTCTTGAGGAAGAACGGACAGTTGGCTACGTCACGCTCCGTTCCAAAGTTCTCAGAGTTCACTGTCACAGGAGCCTCAGGGTTCATCCACGGGCCACCATTATCCAGCTGTAAGACAGGCCATGAGCAATATTTAAACTGTCTTAGTTTTCAGTCTTTTATTAGATTTAGAGATGTTTGCAATGACACCAAAGTGCCGTGACACTAGTTAGAGTAAACTGAATTGAAAGAATTTAAATGCGTCTCTAGGTATAAACAAGTGAAATAAAAAACTTCAGAGCTTCTAAATACCACTTTGAGTAAAATTTAAGGCCAACCTTGTGACAGAAAAGCCCATCAAAAGTCATCAAAATGAACAGTAGGCTCAAATGAAAGTATCTGGCTGAGTTTAAAAACATTGGACAACAAGGCCTAAAGCTTTTATTTGTACACAGCCAATACAAATACTAACATTTAACAATATTAAAATAATATTTTGTCATTAAACCAAGTCTGTTCCAAATCTCTATATTTGGTTAAACAGAAAAAGAAAAAATTATCACAATCCCTGATGATTTGATAGAAAAGCAATTTTTTTTAAAATAAAGAAATATATTTTCCATTTCCTGAGAAGTAACTACAAGTCTTACTGCTAGGGCTGTGCGATATGACCAAAATGTCATATCCCGATATAAGACATCTATCGTCCGATAACGATATAAATCACAAAAATTTTACATTTTCTGTAAATTCTGTGAATCTCGGGCAGCTCGACTTGCGTGAAGTGTTTCCAGCTGGGCGTTGTGTACCTGGAGTCGAGTGTTTTAGTGCTGTTTAGTTAGTTTAGTAATGAAACTATACATTTTTAGACATAAGTTGTAACAGCCGCCGTTTTCTTTGTAAGTATTTATTACACGGCGTGCTGCGGGGAAAAGCCTGTTCTAACGTTTGAGTCTAAGGTTTATTTTTTAGCACCTGACGGCTCTTTTTTGCTTCTCATCCGTAAATACTCTGCATACTCTTTCACGTGGTTTTGTTTATTTTGAAAAGTCTCAACAGGATCTTGAGCTTTATTGTGAAAGGTTTATGTGGAAAATAAACAAGCAGACACGTCGCTTGTCCGTCTGTAGTGTGGTTATATTAAATATAAGAGAAAGAGAGAACTTTAAGAAGTTATAGCCACTACAGTGACCATCAAAACGATGAAAAGATATTGCCGTAAACAGTTTATTTTGCGACACCATGAAACAAACGATAGCGTAAAATGAAACGATAGACGTTTTTATATCGTCATCCGATATGTATCGTTATATCGAACAGCCCTACTTCCTGCTAATCTGCACATATACAAAATACAATATACTGGAAATGAGTTACTATCATTCTGCGTCTCATTTATTTTCAAAGTTTATTTCTGAAGTCATGATGGCTTGGGAGAATTTCCACTGTTAGTGACATTTAACTGAACTTTATTTAACTGATTCAAGTTAAGTCCCATTAAAAGACAAATACCAGTAGTATATATGTACTATATGATACTTTGGGGGGTTTGTGGCTAAGACAGACAGTTTTTACTCGTGTTTGTGTGTGTGAATACCTGATTTTCAGCTTCATCCAACATTTTCTGAACAGCCTCCTACAAATGGTGTAAAGACACGGCTGGTGAAAATGTGTAGAAGTCAATATAACTGCAGCATATCTGTTTTCTGTGGGTTAAGACCACGTTCACAGAGACTGAGAGGCACAAAAAAAGTTGTTAATGGGAGGTATCCTTTCAACACTAGTGGAGCGATTTCACAGCTTTCACACAATATAAAAGATACATCCTTGTTGTGAGAGCTGAGGGTTTTCTCTTTGAGTGTATCTCAGTTAAGGAGTAAAATGGTTCAGTCAAGGAAAAGTTGCACAAACACGTTACAAAAGAAACAATCAGTGGGTGAGACATTAAGCCGGTTCATTAGCTTAATCTCAAGATTATGTAGAAGAGGATATATATGTCTTTTTTGTTTCTATCCTCCTGGAGCCCATATCACCTCTCTGTCTCGCTTCTCCTGCTGCTTCTGCTCTTTTTCTTCTTGTTCTCGCCTCTGTTGCGCTTCCCATTCCTCCTTTATCATCCGCTACAGACACAAAAAGACATAAAGACAGTTATTTGGAATTCTTATTGCAAATCATTTCCACTGTGCTGTCATTTCCATTCATTTTGGTGCCATGAATTGCTTTTTTTCCCCCTTTCACCACAAATGCAGCTCTTTTAAATCAAGCTGGTATGGCCATCATCCCTGGACTGTCTTTATCCAGTCAGCTGTACTGGGCATTTATCCCATACAAAAGCGAAATGAAATATGTGTTTTTAAATGTAAATAATTAAAAATGCTCAGTAAAATTCTGATCTGAACTGCAGTTTGTAAAAGCCATTACTCAAACAGAACAATGGATTTGCTGGGGTCTCCAGTCAATATTTACAGCAGCAGGATGCTGTGCGCTGGACTGAGCTAGACTAAACTGGTCATGTTCACCAGAATAATGACTGAATGAAACAAGCAAGATCAGGCACACGTGCAGAGCTTTGATCATAACAAAGGGGAGAAATGCCTCCAACATGCTCAAACATTTGACCACACAGTTAATTTGCACTACTGTAATGTCTTTGGTACGCTGCTTAGCGACGGTGGCGACTCTCGAGGGGAAACTTACGGCACAAGCAACGTAAAACTTCTCCAGGTCATGTTGATTGTAATATGTTAGCGCCATACTGTATGAATAATCTCCATCTCGTATTAACATTTAGTTGACGAGGTCTGCCAGAGTGAGACTGGCTCAGAGGCTCTCTCATATACCTTTAGCTACATCTGTACTACATTTTATTCTCTAACTCAATGACAATTGATTAGAGAATCAATAAGGAATTAAATCCATAATTGATGTTGATAACGGAATAAGTAACGCTAAATTCCTGTCAATTCCCATCCCTATACCTCCTCCTCCTCTTTTCTTTTCCTTGCTGTTTCCTCCTTCTCCAAACGCAGTCTGAACTCCTCTTGGGCAATCCGCTCTCTTTCCAGCCACTCTTCATGAAGACGCTGTCTAAAGGTAAATAAATACAAAATCAAACACATCCAGCATGTGCAGCAAAATGGTCTATGCTGCTATCAATGAATGAGCAGCTTCAGAGCAGTGACAGTATGGCCCTACCTTTCTTCCTCTGCAACATCGTCATCCTCACCGTCTTCATTTACTTCGTCTTCTTCTCCAGGAGTAGGGCTTGCTCCATTTTTTAAATCTGTAACAGAGAAATGGTGGTGAAGAATTTGCTTAACAACTGCAACTAGACAAATGAGAACAACACAACCTGGACTCATACATCTATCACATACCTCGTTCTCTAGCATGGGCGAGAGCCTGGCGTTTCCGTTTCCTCCTCTCTTTCCTCAGAGCAGCCCTGCGTTGCTTCTGACTGAAGTGAAAGAGATTGAAAACAATAATCACAACAGATGAGCAGATGATGGGAGACTAAGCCGGGGCTTGCACAGCTCTTACAAGAGAGTGCACCTTAAACAATAAAAGCCAGTGTTCACAGCAGACCCTGTGCCCTGTCAAACATAATGATCACTGAACTCTTCCCATCACTGGTGCTTCTGAAGAAGACAGACTTCATGTGCCATTTGCTTCAGTTAGCCATATTGCACCACCTTCTGCCTTTCCCAATACCGGTACTAAAAAAATCTCACTATCTGCAAAGAAAAGGCTCAGGCATTCAAATCGGTTTCTTTAGTACCACCAGACTCATAAAAATGTATCTAACCTAAGGCTAAATTTGTACGATTACGGCGTTTATTTAACAACACTTTAAATGCATGCAGAAGCCACTGTTGTCTACGTGTCTCAAAATCATTACATAAATACGTTCAAAAGACCTACAAAGAAACACAGACCTTAATACAGGAGCTGAAATCACTGGAGGAGTGGACGCTGCCATTGCAGCTAATGGGAGCTAGCTGGTTAGCTTCTTTGGCTAACCCTAGCTGCCCAGTGTAATTCTGCCCGCGTTGTTTGTTCTCGCCAGCATGTAATTAGAAACATTAGAGAAAATCTTCTCTGCTTATACGAAATATTTCCCAGGTGGAATAATTTGTCAAGCTAGAGGCACAACTAAAAAAATGTTTATTGTAAATGTTAGCTACATGCGGAGTTGTTTTGCCTTCTTTATCTTCTTCTTTGTGGAATTCCGGCAGGCAGGACGGAACACAGGCGTATTGCTGCCCTCCTCAGGTACTTCCTAAATGTACATCAAGGATTAAATCCTTACGAGTAGTCCATTTGGGTGCAGAACTTTAGATTAAAAAAACCTTTAAAACTTCCTAATGATACAAGTCGATTACTGATTTTAGGAGAAAAGTCTTAATGTTTATAATATTTGTCTCAATAAAATAGCTGGAGCAGTCCATCAAAACATGCTTAACAGTTTCCATTTCTTCACATGTGCAATTTCCACAATCTGACCTCCTCCACCTACTGCAGCACCCATACCATAGGTATAAATTCTGCCTTGTTCACAGAAAACCCCTCGGTCAGTTATCTAAGCTTAACTGTGCTACACATCTATTACCAACTGAGTCTTCATCTCTCCTCTACCACCTTAGAAAAAGCTAAATTAGCTTTTGCTCTTTTGTTTTCCTAAATCCTTAAATGAGGTTTTGGTCTAAGACTAAACCATGGTGCTATGGCTATCCTGTGGAACTGGGGAACTGGGGGCTAACCCCACTTTCTCCACTCACAACTTCTCCACCTTCTTACTTAATACTGAAAACAAAACTCCCCTCTGGTTTAAACTAAATACTTTGATTTTTAAAAGGGAATAAAAGGTCTGCTCTCTATTCAGTATAATCTATTTTTAAGTCTGTCTACAACTTTATTAACTATCATCAGAGATCATTTTATAGAGCATCTTGATTAACAAATAACAAAATACAGGCCAAATATAATAACACAGCATGTAGCACACAAGAGGATTATAAAAGACGCAAAGGATGAAATAAAGAGGCGGTGCAATGGCAGTACAAGGGCAGGATTAGATTTCTATTATTTTTTCCATAACTATTATTTCATTTCAGTGCTATGCTTTTCTTCATCACAATTAATCCCATTAAGATGAAAGCAGGATTGTATGAGGGCTAGAGAGCGCCTAAAAGTGGGATGGTGGTGGTGTCAGATATAAAGATGTAACTGTTTAATGCAGGGAGACAGTGCTTGTGAATTAGAACTAGATGTTAAAAACAACAACAACAAACAAACCCCATTTTAGTTAACAAAATAAAAATAAAAACTAGACCAAAAAAATGAAATTAAATGATTTTGTGAACTTGGAAAAGAAAAAAATTAATAGAAAATATCCTTAAGTTTAGTATTTGTTAGTTTGTTACAGATTTCATTGCATTAGCTGTAAGGATTTTCCTAAATTTTGCCCCTGGCATACAATAATAATTAAAATGTAATTGAGGAAACTCAGACTAACAAGGAAACTACTAAAAACCAAACTTAAACTAATCATTTTCAGACAATTAAAACTAAACTGAATCAAGGGAACCCACTCTGCAAACTGACTGAAACCACACTGAATAAAAAAAACAAAAAGTTAAAAGAAATTTAAAAAAATTGCTATTAGCTAATAAATACTGTGAAAGGCACAGACACATTAATTTATTTGCCAAGTAGGCACTGTGCAGAAATCTCAGCGACAAACGACAGTTTTGTTTTTATACCAAACAATGACTATTGTGAGTCATATCAATCTGTTACACAACTCTAACACACCATTGCCTGCAGTGTAACATTGTGTGTGCCTTATGTGGATGCTGCTGCTTTACACACAGAGATTTTCAATAAAAAGCGGCAGATCAAAAACAGTAGATGGCACAATTTCCATTTTTGTCCATTTCTAGCACCTCCACATAACCCCATGAAGTTTACAGGTGGCAGTTTCCTCTCTAAAATAGCAACCGCTAATAACTGCAAACACAGCAGGAATTTGCGAGTTCTTCGGGCCTTTATTTTAGGCATCTTTGGCATCTGTAGCACTCTCTCTGTCCCCCCGACAGTCTGTCATTCATTTTTCTTCTCTGGCGCTGTCCTGAGGAAGAAGGCGGGCTGTGTGCAGCAGCGGTAGCACAGAGCCTGAGGCACCAGCATGTACAGCACATTGACCAGCAAGAAGACAGGCTGGCTGTCCACAGGTACTCTGTATGAAAACGGTGTCCGTGTGTGAAGAGATGCACCGATGTGGGAGAACTGGGCCTGTGAAACGCAGCAGAGAGGGATAATAAGCATGTGCTTCACAGCTGGTATGTTCACCAAGATTCTTATATAACCACTATATGGACAAAGATCACCTACATATTACATCTGCAGGAGCTTGTTTGACATCCCACTGTGAATTCATAGGCATTACTATGGAGTTGGTCCCTGTTTACAGCTATAGCTTCCACTCTTCTGGCTTTCTACAAGATTTTGAACGGTGCCTGTAGAAATATTTGCCCTTTCACCCAGAAGGGCATTTGCAAGGCCTGACATTGATGTTGGACAAGAGGGGTCGGCTCACAACCTCCATTCTGGTTGATCCCAAAGGTGGTAAATGGGGTTAAGGTCAGGGCTGTGTCAAGTCAAGTTCTTCCACTCTATTTATTTGACCAAACCTTCATGGGCCTTGCTTTATGGCATGGTGCACAGAGATGCTGGGAAAGAAAAAGGCCCTTCCCTAAACTGTTAATAGTCAAAAATGTCTTTGTAACCTGAAGCTTTAAGAGTCCCCTCCACTGGAACTAAAGTGTACAGGCCAGAAACACAAGCCCCAAAGCAATATCTATCTAGAAGGGAAGAAATTTCAGACACTGACTTGCTGCACTCAAATTCAGTGAGCTGTTTAGAAGGACCCATTCTTACACAAATGTTTATAAAGCTCAATACTGAACGAAACACCTGAATTCAGTCGCTAAAAGGTGCTGCCCAATACGTTTGTCCATACCGTGTATCTTGTTCTTAAATATCTCTTACATTTTTAACAATATTTTGAGCTCATGATGTAAAAAAAAATGATAGAATCACTTCAATTTTCTACCCCCCCCCCTTTTTTTTTTTTTTTTGTAATTTAACAACCAAAGCGCTGGAAGAATTATGAATTTTAGAAAACAAGATAGAATTAGATGTCAGCACCAGGGTTAATATAGTTAACTAAAACCAAACTAAAAACCAAAAGTAGAAAAATGTTAGTTAACAGAAATAAAAACCAAATATCAAAATAACTGAAATTGTTTTGTGAAGTTGGAAAACTAACAAAAATAAAATAAGAATATAGCAGAAATATCCTAACAGAAAATAAACTGAATTTTAAAAAAAATCAAAACAGAAAATAATAGAAAATAAAAAACTATAATAACTAAGATTTTTAGTTGTTGTTTTGTCCCACAGAATCTCAGTGGTCTGGGATAGTGAGACATTTGGGCACATTATTGTCTTATTATCATGTATTAGTAAATTAAACATCAGTTCAAAGTCATAAATCTTATAGGAAATCCTGTGATGCTAAAGCCCACATTCTCTTGTTGGAAGCAATGATCTATCTACAATAACAGAGCAAGAAGGGCTTACACAGGAAACCCATTTGAAGCATACAAAAACAAAGTAACAGCTGTTTTAGAGTGAATTATTCCTTTACTGGACTGACGATGCCTGCATTCTGGCACCACCAGTGATCCTCATATGATTTTCAATCTAATACACTTCTGTCATTTACCTTTTCGTAGAAAGCTGCTGACACATGACATGTTTCATAGCAACCAAGGCTGCCAGAGGATCAACCTTCCTATTTATATCCTGGCTGAACAGCTGACATTTAAGTGAATACCACCAATACCACCATTCCTCTTGGTCTGAAGTCAGCTTCTGCCCTTATCCTGCCGATGAGTGACGCGCCAGCCTGCAGCTCAAACACAATGGCTGCATTGTGCAGTGGAGATGTGATCAGCGCGATAGCCGCTCCCACAACTCTTCCCTTTCCATCTTTAGATGTAAATAGAGCCACTGGAGTCTGTCAGCTCTGAAGAGTACACTAAACAAAGACCAACTTGCAATCACTACAGAGGAGAAAGTTTACCGAACTGGCCAGAAGCCGGCTCTCAGTCTCTGTGTAACATTACATAATCTACCTGGATCTATGATGTCATGTGGGAAAACAAAAGACTGTAAACGACTCTTTCACATGACCTTCATTTTTAAAACCTGGCAACCCTTTCATCACTTACACATTTGGTTTCCAGATATTCGGAACAAGTTAGAGACGTTAGGTGTCTCTAACTTGTGAGGGGCCCCTCATTGTATACGGAGATCAACAGTACCTGTGCCAATGCTCCTGAGTGTACAAGAGTCAGGTCTGGCATCCAGTCACATCCTGGGACCAACAGCCCATACAGAGTAATGATGTAGTAGGGCCCAGAATACAGCATGCTCACCAGCATCTGTCAAACAGAGACACAGTTTACTTTTTTAGATATGTGGCTTAACATTACAGCATTAGAGTGACGTTTTTGGAGTGTTTACTGTCACCGTGTTACCTGTACTTTAGGGTAGGCTGAAGGGTCTTTGAGGTATGGCTCATACTGCTGTGTGTAGTCTTGGCACCATTTGCTGGAACAGTCAAGAACAACCTCGAACACATAACATAACAGTTTGATATGTGAGAGACACCCAACGCTAAGAAAGTAATCTAGAGCTGGGCAAGCCGATCACCATGAGGTTTCTTACCAGGCCTCTGAACACACAGAAAGCCAGCGCTGGAATGAGGTAGATGATGAATACCAAGTCCACAGGTCTGCGGAGCAAGCCTGCCCTGTGAGCCTCCTCGATGTCCTGAGAACACAACAGGAACACTAACATTTGCAGATGCAAAGTATGGATGTGTTTCCAGCAGATAAGACACTTTAACCCTTACCTTGTGGATATAAGGTAGATCGCAGCTATTTCACAGAGGCAGGGTACACCCTGGACAGGTCGCCAGTCTGTCGCAGGGCTAACACACAGAGACAGACACCATTCGCGCTCACATTCACTCCCACAGTCACACCTATGGGCAATTTGGATTAACAAATTAACCTATCCCCACAAACTGCATGCCTTTGGACTGTGGGAGGAAGCCGGAGTACCCGGAGGGAGAACATGCAAACTCCACACAGAAAGACCCCAGCCTGATGCTGATGCTGTGCGGCAGCAGTGCTAACCACCTTGCCACCGTGCTGCCCTTCAGAAAGAAATGTCACCAATAAATGGGCATCTGTTTAAACTTCAGTTATGTTTAAATATATCTACTATCAAAGACATATTTGCCTAACTTATAATGACTCTGAGAAATGTGCCCATACATTTTTTTTGCACTGTTTCTGTGGTGGTAATTACTCGTCAGAATAATCTCACAGACACCTGAGACGGACTCACTGATGGATTGGACTAAGGGCAATAAAAGTAGGTGTTTTCTCTGTGAGAGGGGCGGCGGTCAGGTTCTTACTGATAGCTCAACGTCCCGTGCAGAAGGCTGACAAAAGATGCGGAAGCAAGCCCACACCGACACTGAGATGTACAACAAATGGAGGATGAAGAGAGGGCCAACGTGAGTCCCATACTTTCCTGGGGAAAAATGAGGGGAAAAACTAGATCAGAAATGATCTAGTTTAAATCCCTGTAAGCAAACGGGATATAAAAGTCTGTGTGTGTGTGTGTGTGTGTGTGTGTGTGTGTGTGTGTGTG